AATGAAGCCATTTTCATTCTCTGACATTATTCTACTATAGCAAGACCTTTCTTGAGCAGGTTTTGATGCTGAGAAGATTTCTGAGGTGTAAGTTCAAAAGCTATTGCAGGAGATAAATCAGGTCCCCATTTCCTATTTCGCTATGTACTACCTGGGGGCTGTTCTTCAGAGATCTGTTTAAGTAGTACATGTTAGAATGTAAAATTAAAAATCGACAGGACTCGTAAGTGTGTTTCCAAACCAACTGTAGCTTCAGTGTATTTCCCAAGGCTGCCCAGCAGTGGTCACAGCTATTTTTCATGAGGGCCAAGAAAATAAAGTGTCTATTCTAAGAAAGGTTCCTGCAACTTAAGGAACAAGCTCAGTGGAAAACCCTGCTGATTGTAGTGGCCAGAGCAGTAGGAACTGAACTGCACAATGCTACTCGGGCACTAAGCCATGCCCCTAACCAGAAAACAACCTAAAGGAAAGTTGAATAGTTTCTCTAAGAAACGATTCATTTTTTTTTTCATGCCTCTGGGGCCAACTAGGAACCTAAGAACCTAGCAAAGGACATTATACACAGCAGGCACTCAAATATACTTGTAGAATGAATGAATAAATTAAAAAATGAATGAACGGTAGTCTCTCTCTTATATTCTAGTCCCTAAGCAAGTTAAAAAGCAAATGTTTGTCAGTTAAGGTGTTTGTTTGTTTTTTTTGTTTTGTCTAGGAATTAGCATTGTCTTATTAGCATATTGTCTTAGCACATTGCCTTATAGGCACTTTAACTGTATCTCCAAGACAAAGTACCTTTTGTACTAGATCTCTTTAATTTAGAATAACCTTCTCCAATGTTTGTATGAATGAATACACAAAAAGCCCTCTCCATTCTTCTCAGTGTCTTAAAATCACAGCTGCTCGATGAAGTTCTTTCAACTAATGAGAAAACTGCAGTCACAATATTTGTTATTGCTCAAGTGACTTCCTGACTTTAAGCCAGGCCAATGAGCAAATACTTTTAAAACCTGCGGTTTCATGTAAATTCTCATCTTAAACTATTTAACTATAATAAAAGCAGCATCTTAAATTAACGAATTAGAGGACAAATGCTGACCCCTTTATCAGTCTTCTGGCTTCAAATTAGGTCAATGAGCAAGTGACGTTGGGACTATCTAGAAGTAAGGAAAATGTCTTCATTTTATATTGAAAGAACCATGCCTTTTTCCTATTTTTTTAATCTCCAAGGCAAGCAATAGGTTTTCTAGACCAGACCTACTAATTCATCTAGCATAGTACCTTCCAGAAAACAGGCATTCAAATATTTACCCAAAAATCAAACCTGTTTTCATAGCTTCAGCTATGATCTGTGATCTAAAGCCCTTTAGACTAGGCCCATTTCATTTCCCTTATGCTCAGGACCTAGAATGATCTAGTTCATGTAAAATATCCTCTGTTTATCAAATGAATTTGAAAGCAGACCTGAGCCATTTCTTTTTACTCCTTAAATGTCTCTAAGCCAGGCCAGGGTGGATCTAATTCACCTCCATCTTTAGGATTCAGCGTTTAAAAAATTGATGGAGAACTAGAAAACCTTGCTTTGTAAAAAACATTCCCCATCTCAGGCCAGGGAGCAAGTAGCCTTCTGGTCTGGATTGTATCTTTCCTACCTAGCTCAGCATTTAGCATACTGCCTTGCACAATTCTATTTCTCCCATGTTTTCATCATTAAATAAATTTAGCAGTATGTAAGCACCTTTTAGGCTGGATCTCACACCTATTACCTCATTTCCTCCTGTGAGCAACCCATGAGAATAAAATTTTTATATCCTAGGGTATGTGTAGTTCTGAGCCTCACAGAAAGTAAGCAGAAATCCTTCATTAAGCCAACAGTTAATTCTTTCTGTCTATATAGAACAGTAGGCTTGGTAAATTTACAGACAGATCTCTGCTGCAGGTTTAATAATAATGATAATGAATTTTTGCATAACCAGTTGCTATCTCTGAGGAAAGGAGAGAGCAAATTATTATCCAGTCTTGTATTCATCATACACTTAATCTTTTCCATATTATATTTACAGTGTTCAATAGTTAATAATCCATTCCCAAGTTTTTTCCATCTTTCTTTCATACTATAACTGAGATACAATGTTATAAGCCTAGTACTGGGCACCAATGAGAAAAGCAATAATTATCATTCATATGGTGCTTTATAGTTCACGAGATGCTAACATATGTATTGCATTATTCTCAGCTGTAGGCATAACGAAATAATAAATGTGTGTATCTCTTTAGTGTCTATAGCACTGAGTTCACACAGTAAGCAACTAATATTAATTCATCGGTTTATTCGATAAGTATTGAAACCCTCAATTTATATAACGGTTTATACTGCCTTCCCCATAGTGGGTCAAGCACACAAAGAGAAATTTTTTAGACAATGCCATCTCACAGAGTTTTATTCACACAGAAAACACCTCGTTTTATATTTATATAGCACTTTATAGTTTAGAAATCTCAATCTCACTCATTACATTTTTTTACCTAAGAAAATATACTGGTAATGTTTTAAAATCACCAGTAAAGTCTTGATTGAATAAAATAAGCAATAGCTAATTTTTTTACATCTGAATACTGAATAATATAGAATATAAACCTCCCTCTTATTAATTGGGAGCATTATCTTAGATTTCATAGTGCCCAAAACAATAGCTGGCACATAAAAGGCACTTAGTATTCATTCATTCGTTCATTTATTCATTCCTAGACATAAAGCCCATTGGCATTTATTTAGTGCTTTAGTTTACAAAGCACTTTAAAATGCACTTCCTATCTTGAAATTTTTAATTCTAAATTGAGAACATCTTTTTTCATTTGCCATCCATAGTGCCTAGCATGTTATCTGGCACATTATAAGTCATCACAATAGCTTAATCCTTTGTGTTTGCTGTATATTTTTATAGTTTAAAAGCAGTTCCCATATGTTCTCTGCTACCTGGAACACTATATTTTTACTCAAAATCGCTATAGCAGCAGAAACACAATGGCTACAAATATATGAATTATTCATTTGTCAACCATTTAGTTCCAAATATCTGCATAATGTTACATACTCTTGACAAAGCACTTTATTCATGCTTCTTTTAACATTCGTATCCACAGTTCCTAGACAGGAGACTGTATAGAGTATGTAATCAATATTCACTCATCAACTCTGAAACTTGTAAGTCTTTAAGCACTTTCATAGTTTACAAAGCATATTCACACATTTTAATGCAGGTCACTTGGATGTGATCGTAAATAATCATTGCATCCTTAGTGCCTAGCCAAAGGACAGGTACACACAAGAAATTAATATTATTCAGCACAGTCCCTGGCATGTACATCAGGGGTAACTATGGCTTGCAGACCAAATCCACTTGGTTCATAAGCTAAGAACAGTTCTTAATTTTTAAAGGGTTGTAAAAAAAATGTAACAGAGACTATATGGCCTGTAAAGCCTAAAATATTTACTATCTGCCCCTTTACAGAAAGGGTGTGATGACCCCTGATTTACATAATACTTCACAGCTGACAGTGCACTTTCAAATATTAGTTGTGCATGGCTGCCAATACACTATTAATGAGAATACCTTGCTTTCATATGTATTCTCGATCATTTAAATTATCTTTCCTCATGGTAAACGGGAAAAAATCAAGAGAGGATTAAACCTGCTGAATATTCTCAAGTTCTCTCATCTTTAAGTGTAGAGGTGGGTATTAAACCCAAGGACAAGCTTGGTTCAGTCTACCAAGTTACTCGGCCACTACTATGAGCAGGGAGTTCAGGCTGTCTCTTTGGAGCCGCACTCTGTCCCAGGGTCAGTCATCTTTTGTAACCATCGCTAGGAGTCCCAAGCCTCAGAAATCTTGCTCACCAAAGCTCAAAGGAGTAAGGTGTTGCCTGCTGCTACTTCTCAGCAGGCTGGCACATCTGCGTATTTCTTGTCTAATTCTTCTCATTGGCCTGGAGCAACTCTCGACAAATGGATCAGAACTGTGATAAAAATGGCTTACATTGGCCCAGGCACACTACTGGTAATTTAAAGATATGTCCCTTTAAAGTAATAACATCATAAAGGACATCTCAAAGGAAGTGGGCTTAAATGGAGATATGAGAACTGGAAAGGGAGAATCGAAAATGTCCAAGAGTAGGGAGAACAGTAGTAGAAAAGAACTGAGGATTCTCATCTTGGGATTTCTTCTGCTTTTAGGGCTTCTAGCCTTCCTGGATTTTGGGTCATAGGACACCGGTTTCCCCGACCTGATTTAGTCTTAATATATCTGTCTTTCTTGAGCCTTCCAGTCCACGTAGAGAGGCTTGACTCCTGGGTCTTTATGTATGTTTGAGGCCTCCCATCCTTGAGTCTTAGGTCTTCAAGCTAAGGCTTTTTATCTCAGGCCTTCCATGGGTACCTGCTCTTAGCATGCCATCCTGTGTCTTCAGCCCTCCGTCTAACTCCAGACATGAGCCGTTCGACTCAGTCAACTTCTGTACATCATGGCTCTTGGGACTTCTGATGGTCTCAGGCCTGAAGTGTCCATCTATTTTGGCACACAGGTTTTCCATTTTAGTCCTCAAGTCCCAAGTTTCAAACCATCTGTCCTCTACTTTGGGCCTTCTATCCGTTATGGGCCTTCCACCTTCTGTCCATCTTAGGTCTTGGGTTTTACTTCGGCCTGGACATTTGGGCCTTCTATTAGTCTTGGATTATCTCACAGCATAGCCTGGCATAAAGAACAGCTGTGCAATGCTCATTTCGATAGCTGGTGCACAAAAAATATGCAAGGAGAGAAGATAGCAGGAAATCTAGACGAGAAGACACAGACTCATGAAGAGGCTGA